CTGGGGTGGGCGGCAGTGTGTATCCGGAAGGGGGCGGGCGTGGCGCTATTCCTATAATATGCGCCACAGTCCCTAAGTGGCCTCGTGGACTGTGCGCCAGGGTCGTGCACTCGGTGACCTCGGGTCGGAGGCTTGGTCTTGGCGAAGACTGCCCAGGGCGATCCCCTCCGGGCGTTCCTAGGGAACCAGTGAAGCTGGGGGTGGCTGCAGCCAGGCCCTGTCCGGGGATCCAGTCCTGCCCTGAAAGTGCCACCTAGGAGCACGTGTCCCCGTCACAAATCCCGTCCTGGACCTAGAGGAAGAGGAAAGGGGCAGTGGCCTCCAGGGCCCTGGTTTCCTCCTGCCCACACCCACCACTTGGCTAGGATAAGCAGCCAGGCTTCTTGAGGCTGGAGCACCTAGAAGGCTCCGCCCTTGGCGTAAGGCCTATCCTTCTGGTGAGACAGGAACAATCTGGCTGTCCTAGACGTGGAGGAGGTCCGCAGGCTGCAGTGGGGCCTGAGAAATCAGGGTTTGGGGGCTACTAAGACCAGGGCTGAGCTGAACCTTGAATGAGGAAAAGGGGGAGATGGCATTTCAGGCTGAGGGTAGTGCTTGGGCAGGGCTGGGACAGGTCTTGAGAGGCAGTCTGGCTGCAGCAGAGCAGAAATCCAACTTAGTCCCAGGATTCTCCAGAAAAACCGAGGCCAATGGGGACTTTCCTGGACCCCCCACTCCTATGAAGGCAGAGGCATTGGGACATTCAGTATCAGGAAGGAAAATTTGTAGACTTGTTGTCAGATGGCTTTGGGGGAAAAGGCAAATCTAATAAGGACTGAGGCTGTACAGTAGCCATTCAGGGCAAACTCCCTCTCTCCCTATCTTCTATTCCTTCTTGTAGTTCTGAATTTCTTTCCTCCTCCAGGAAGTCTTCTTAGATTAAGCAAATGAGAAATCACTTCTCCTAATGCCTAAATGATAACAGATCCTATTATCCAAGTGCCAAGCATCATGCTAATCATTTTTATGTATATCATTAATCTTCTTAGTAAGCCTGTTAAGTAGGTATTATTATTATCCCCACTTTGCAAGAAGAGAAGCTCACGTTCACATCTAACATATGGTACAGCCAGGATATGAACTCAAGTTGCCAAACTCCAAAGTCTATGCGCAACCACAGTGCCTTCTTACCATCTCTTAGCTATAACACAGTCCTCTTAACTTTCACCTGTCAAAATGCAGACTCCCTACATCTCTCTACTTTTGTAAATAGCCAAAAATATCCATATATTGTTTGGGCTCCACCTTTGTTGTTGTGATGTTTCTTTCTCCTTACTCTGTGTTTCCTATGAATTAGTGAAAACAATTTCCGGCATGCTGGTGTATGTATGTGTGTGCTTTTGTGCACGTGTGTGTATGTGTGCATGTGCATGTGTATGCAGGTGTATACCTGTGCAAATGCAAGTGTACACAGATGCATGTATTTGTGAGTACATCCCTGCATGTGTGTGCATGTAGACATGCATGTATGTTGTATGTGGATGTGTGTATGCATATGTGTTTGCACACATCGTGTGTATGCACACGTGTATGCGTGTTGCATGTGTGCATGTGCGCATGTGTGCCCATGTACATTTCACAGACAACAGTTCCTGCTTGGTTGTTATGGGAACCACAGTTCTAAAAATGTTAAACTGAATCCTACTCCATGTAAACCAGAGAAACCAAAAGAGAGAGAGGAGAGCTCAATGACAGAGACACCTCTATAGTCCCAGAGCTGAGGCAGAAAATTGTGGGCTAGCAAGAACTGGACAGGCCCCAGACAAGCCAGAGGTGTGGTCACACTCAGAGGACCCCATAGCTAGTGTCAGGGCCTCAGTCCTGCTTCTTCCCACCTCTCCCTCTTGATCCTTCCTTTTCCCTCTTCTCCTTCCCAGCTTCATCTTTTCCAGCCACCTTCCTTCCTTCTTTCCCTTCTTTCCCTCTTTCTTCCCATTACTCTTTCCCTCCTTCTCCTTTTTGGGCTTTTTTGGTCAACCAATCAACACAATAATTAAGTACTTACATGTGCTGACTTAGTGATATGGGGGCCACAAATGTGAATCTTCTGCCCTTGAAGGAGCTCAAGGGTGGGAGCATTTGGATAATGGGTCAGAGAAGGGGAGAGGGCAGAGCAAGGAGCAAAGGAGGAGGTTGGAGGGTAAATTTGGATCAGATGTGGAGGACTTTGACTGCAAGGATGAAAAATATGTATTTTTGTAGGAGGGTGGAAGCCTTGATCAGTTTGGGATAAAGCACTAATATGTCACGAATGGTGTTTTAGGGAATATTTCCTCACTAGTGCTGGGCAACGTGGAGTGGAAGGAGGGATAATAGAGGCACAGGAAGCAGTTTGGTATAATGCAGGCTTGTCTCAAACAAGGTACAGGGGTGGGAGGAAAGGGGAGGAAACAGCAGACATTCTGGGTTTCTTTGTCAAATTCTCCCCTATACCCACCTCGTCAAGTTTCCTATTACTCTTTCTCATCTCTCCAGTGTGAGAATCAGGACTTGAGTGAGTCTCTGTTACTGATGTGCTTCTTCAGGAGCACTGGAAAGTAAAAAAGTTGGGGACCACTGGTGCTGCTTGTGGTAGCAATGAGTGGTTATATAAATATACACTGGTCTTAGAACTGGGAGGCCCAGGGTTAAGGCCAACTTCAGTCTCTTACCATCTATGTGCCCTTGTGAAAATCCCCAAACTTCTTGGGCCTCGGTTTTCTCTTCTATACAGAGTGGGATTGGACAAGATATTCTTATATGCTCCTTCCAACTACGATGTTATGTGATTCTATGTGACTGTCATAGCCAAGGTATGTGTGTATGTGGAGAGGGTGACATGGGCGAGAGTGTTGGCAATAGGCACAGAGAGAATATGAGAAATATTTTAATAGAAGAATCAATTTCTTTTGGTTTCAGTTTTCAATAATATTGTTGACCAGATAACCCAAAGACTCTCCTGCTACAAAATATGTGGGCTGCTTCACAAAATATAAAACACATCCCCTGGAATGCTTAGCTGAGTTTGCAAGAAAGGAAAGAAAATCTACATGGACCAAAATGAGGGAACTGAGATCAAGAAATACAAGCATGCGATGTGCTGTGACTAACCCCAGAAGGCATGGGCAGGGAGCCGTATTGCTTGTCTGTCTTGATCTGGGCTCTGGTTAGAGAAAGGAGAGCTACTTCTGAAAATTTATAACTACTTGAGTTGGAGTTTGTACTCACAACACCTGTGTGGGACAGGAACCCCAAGCCAAGAAATTAGCAAAATATTATTCTCCATCAAGTGATACTCTTGGAGTGTGTAGCATAAGCAAAGACAAAACTGCTCAGGAGAAACATACCCTCAATCCAGTACACAAAGTATCACTGCCCAGGTAAGTCCTCACTGAAGATGAGCTCACAAGCTAAAAATTACAATGTGTAAAAGGAAACAATGTACCACAAATGAGAGAAGAAAAGATCCTGAATAATTTCAATAAGATCCAACAGGTCTAAGTGACAGCCTGGATATGTAGGGGAGGGAATACATAAAGGTGAATCCCACTGAGCTGTAGTTACTTAGGTGAGTCTAGGACAACACGCAAATAATTGTCACTGTTAGCAAAAGTTTGGTATATGGAAGAGTGGTTTGATTTTAGACAGATTGTATTTGAAATGGTGGTGGGACACCCATATGGAGATATTCATTAGTCAGAACCGTGGGACTGGCTGACTTAGAAGCCATGTATGAAGGCATGATGGCTGAAGACCTGGCAATGAATATGCTAAGTGTGTTGAAATAGGAAAGAAGGCTAAGAACTGAGTCTGGGAAAATACCTACATTTTGAGGATCAGATGAAAAAGACAAGCAAGTAAGGAAAATGAGCTCTCTGACAGTTTGATTCTGGTTGGGTCCTGGGTTTGGGTGGATTTTCAGATTGGTTATAATTATTTCCATCTCTGGCCTAAGATTCTCTTCCTTCAAAATCCCTAAGGGAAGCTCCAGTAAGTGGGGGCAGTGTCCCTTGGGACACAGGAGGGACTTCTCAGCTGGGAGTTGTAGAACCAGGCTGGGCTCTAGCACTGAGACTACTACTAAGTCACCTCTTTGGAATTCCATCTTCTCATCAGTGGTATTAGGCCTAGGTGGTGTGAGGACAAATTGGGGCACAATATGGCTGACAGCCTTGATGGAATGCTGCTGGGGGGGGACAAGGGTGGGGTAGTCAGAGGCCAGCCACCCATAGCCTGTCTGCACTTCCTCCTCTGTTCAGGTCGGATGGTTTGGGACCAGTTGCTTGAGATATGGACCTTTATACTTTTCCATACCCTACTCTGCATGGAAAGCAAAGTCAGTTGGTCACTTAAATAGTAAGATAATAAGGGTCACCATTATTTTATGTGTCCATGAATCTAGCACTTACAATGTCTGGTAGTCCATCATTTGAGCCTCTCCACAGAGTTAAACATTGCCCTCTGCAGGCTACTGTTTTAAAATGTTAATTCCTCTAGAAGAGGTAATGTCAAATCCTTTACCACAAATTAGTTTATTAGATACAATATGCTCAGCCATGTGAAAGCACTTAACACCTGTGGAGAGAAAAGGCTGGAATTCTCTGACTTGATAATTTTGTCTCTGGTCAGCTGGATTGCATGGTGGAGGGGTGAAGAAGCCAGAGGGTCAGAAGTTGGTTTGATATAGCACCATAGGGCTGTTGGCTCTCCTAATTCAGGAACAGCTCAGCACAGAAAAGAATGAAGTCCTCACTTAGACACAGGCCTTCTCTCTTCCTTAGTAGAGAGGGGTCACTGTGGTGGAGAGATGGAAGGCAAGGCAGGCTTTTTATGCTCCAAGGTCTACCCAAGATGGCCAGAAAGAGTGTAAAAGTTTTGTGCAGGGAGTTCAAAGAGGAGGAGGAGGGGGCACCCTTCCCATCACAGGATCATGCTTTCCTCACCACCCTCATATCCTCCCCACCCCCAAAGCCATGAAGGGTTCATCTGGAAGGGGAGCTTGAGAAAAGTGGCTTTGGCAGGTGCATGGTTGAAGTGTAAGAGGGGGCTGCTGCCTCCTTTGTGGGAAGAGCAACTACGTGAGCCTCTGGCAAATGCCTGCTCCTTGCTATACTCAGGTGTGGGCTAGCTAAATGCCAAGAACCTTTTGGCCCTGACAGCATGTGACTCTTGAACAGGAGCACAGCCACTGGCTGGAGCCTCTGTGACACCCAAACTCTGGGTATTCACAAACAGCACTGAAATCCTGCAGCCTTTTGCTGCTGTCGCTGCTGCCTGGGGCTCCCTCTAGTTGCCAAACCTGTTTCTCACTTTCTGCTAGGAAGTCTTTCCAAATGGTGCTGTTAAGTTCAGGTGCCTTCATTCTGGCGTTGAAAAATGAGCACTGGCTTTGAAGTCAGACGGCTCTGTTTGATCCTGTCTGTCTCTAGCTGGGTTACCAGCAAGTTACCTCCTCACTTTTGAAATAGAGTATATGCTTCCTTCACCTGGATTGTGAGGATTAAGGAAAATAACATATGCATGCGAAATGTTTAACGCCGATGCCTTTCAATCACTTTCAAGTTCCAGAAACACTCTAGTCCTTAGGTCAGCTGTGATTAAATTCATCCATTCATTCAGGACATATTTATTAAATGCCTATCATGTACCGCAGTGCCTGGCAGGTGTGCCTGACACTAGGTGTGTAATGTGTTCAGGGCCTGTACTCCATGAGCGTGGGGATCGCCTTTATTTTCTGGCAAATATGGTTGCGGGGGAGGAGTTGGGGGAAGGGTCAGGAGCTTACATGGCAGATTCGGTAAGCTTTTAGCACAATAATTTTAATTGCAAAAATAAACAGTTTTGTCAACTACTTGAGAGTAGCGTCTGCTTTACAAAAATTAACAACAAAAAAGAAAAAAAAAACCCCAAAGCAAAACGTTACATCCAATGGCTGCTGAAAACGACACTGCTGTACAAAGTCCCGCGCGAGACCGGCTCGGCGCTGCCCCAGCCAGTCTCTGGGGGGTATAGAGGACGGCGTGGGGCGTGCGCCAGGTACAAAAGACTGTCTCGGGTCTCAAGGAAGAGCCCGCTCAGTGGATGGCCTGAGGGAACTTCCCCCCAAAGCGCTGCGAACTAGGGAGACAGCGCCGGGACGGCGGGAGCTGTCCACGGAGCTGGTGCTGAACAGGGCGTGTGCGGCGGGCACTTCAGGGGAACTGGAAGCGGGACGGAGGCCGGCCCCCGGGCGTGCGAGGAACAGTTGGAAGAAAAGCGAGGAGGAGAACGGGCCGGATCTTCTTGTGCGCGCCGGGCGGCGGCGCCCCAACCCACAAACCCATCTCTTGCTCACACGGCGGCGAAGGAGAGGCCCAGCGAGTAAAAGCCGAGGCCCTTGAGCCGCTCCTCTGCGCGCGCCTTCTGCTTGAGGTGCACCTTGCTGTGCCGTTTCTTCTCATCGCTGCGCGCGAAGCGGCGGCCGCACACGTCGCAGGCAAACGGCTTCTCGCCGGTGTGGGTGCGCACGTGCGTGGTGAGGTGGTCGCTGCGGCTGAAGTTGCGGAGGCAGATGCGGCACTGGAAAGGCTTGTGGCCCGTGTGGATGCGCAGGTGGCGGTTGAGCTCGTCGGAGCGCGCAAAGCTGCGCACACAGCTCTCCACCGGACAAGCGAAGGCCTTGGCGTGCGGCCGCGGGCAGAAGCAGCGCGCGCTACACTTGCCGCCCCGGCGCCCCTTGCGCCGCGCCTTGGCTGGGGGAAACGGGGCGGGCGGCGGTGGCACGGGTGGCGCAGCCACGCCATTGCTTCCAGGGATGTCCGCCACTAGAGGTTTTGGGAAGTCCGCCGCGGCGGCGCTGCGAAGGCCCAGCGGGGAAAGCTGAGGCTGCGCACCGGCCAGAAACTCTCCACCGTCGCCGCTACTCCCTCCCTCCCCACTAGGAGGGGTCAGGAGCCCTGGGAGGCCCTCGGCCACCTCTCCTAAGTCACCAGGGGCCAGCGGGAAAGCATCGTAGGCCCCGGTGGGATAGAGTCTGTTGGCTGAGCCGGCTGGCAGCTCCGCAGGGCAGCTGATGGACAGTATGTCCTCAATCTTGGTCCCTATTGAGGGGAAACGAGCCTCGGGGACCGCCTGGTAGCCTCCCTGTGACCCACAGTTCCCTGGGGTCCCAACAGAAAGGAGCTCCCAGGGCGCGTAAGGACCCTTGAAGGCCGAGGCAGCGTCCAGCGCTGGAGAGGCCGGAGGCGCCCGGAGACCCGGCTTGACGTCGGGTGGGGAGAGCTGAGGCTCATACAGGCACTGCGAGGGGGCGCCTGTGGAAGGTGAGGCTTCCCAGAACGCCTCTGGGAAGGCGGCAGCGCCCAGATCCGGGGAGTAAAGGTCCGGAGGACCTGGTAGCAAGGCGTCGGGGCCCGTGGGAAAAGGAGCATCCAGCGGGGACCGGGATGCTGCCGCCTCAGGGCCAGGGAAGGGTGCCAAGCCTAAGATGCCCGACATGAGATTGAAGAGTGCCTCCGGGTCGTGCGGGTGTTCGGGCACCGCCTGAATGAAGAAGCTACCGCTATAGCTGAGGCTGGGAGGGGGTGTGGGTGCAGGACCCTCCAAGAAGCAGGAGTCGGCTAAGTCTCCCCCGGCGCCGCAGCTGCTCAAAGCCCAGCTCAAGAAGTCGCCTGCTGAGGAGGGAAGCAGGAATCAGCTCTCAGCACATCAAAGCGTGTGCCTCTGAGTCCGCAGCCCCTACCCACGAAGCCCCTGGTGCGCACGGATACATACAAAGTGCCTTTTGCACATTCTGATGCAGCAGGGGCCAGCATACGTCCCAAGAAACACATACAAATATGCACACGCAGAACACACGTGTACAAGCAAAAGGACGCCCCTATACACGCACAGGTTCCTGCGGAGGCGCTGGCGGCCCGGTGGGGGTGGGAATGGGGGTGCGCGCCCCAGGATCCTCGCGCCTCCCATCGCCCCTATTCCCATAGCTTCAGAGTCCCAGTCCCTGCCAGTTCTCAGGCATCCTCCGCCCCCGCGCTGTGCAGCCGTCTGAGCACCTCTGGCCGCGCTCCTTACCTCCGGGGTAGCCAGCAGCCGCGGAAGCGTCCCTGGCCGGCAGCCGGGGCAGTTCAGCGTTAGGTTCCGCGCAACAGCCCTCGGTGGACTTGACGAAGAGCGCGTCGGGGCCGGAAAACTCGCTAAGGTGGAGCATGGCTTGGCGGCGATTTGGGGACGCCCGGGGCCTCGCACGCTGGGCTTGGGGGCGCGCGGGTAGCAGGGAGGCCGGCGGTCGGGGCGCCCCACGGCGCGCAGACCTAGGCGCTCGGGCTCCTGGCTCCGGGGGTTCACCACTGGGAAGGGAGTTGGGGGGCCGCGGCGCCCTCGCTCGCCCGCACCGGCCTCGGGCGGCGGCTCCTCGCCTCTCCAAAGCGCAGCCGGGCTCCCCCAACCCACGGCCCCCCCACTTATATAGCTGCGGCGGCGCTAGCTCCGGGCTTCCGACTCCCCGGGCCACTGCCATTTCGGGAGGCCCCGGCCCTGCCGCCGTGACGTAAATGCCCAAACATGGACACAGGATGTGTGCCGGGGACTCCCGAAAAGGAAAGCTCGAACTGTGACGTCGCTGCCGCCGCCGCCGCCAGCCCCGCGCCGCTACGTGCGCGCGCGCTCCCTGAGCGTGGAGCCCCGTGCGCGCCGGGGTCGCGGGTGCGCTGGTCTGGGGGTCTGCGCCGCGTGGGGCCGGACGTCCAGTGGATGCGCTTCCCGCCTGGAGGCAGAGGCCGACAGGCTGCGGGGTGGGACCGTGTGGGCTTTGGAATTCCACAGTTTGGGGTTCGAATCCGCTCTGCTACTAACTAGTGTGTCATTTAATTCCCCCTAAGGTCAAGTTCCACACCTGTGAGTTTGCTATGGAAAGAAACTGAGTTAGAGCATGTAAACGTCCAGGCACACTCAGTAAACCATAGACATTATTGCCATTCATTCATTTCTTTTGCTCACGCCTGATTTTCCATTTTCTTAATTTTTTTTTTTGTTTAAGTTTGTGCTAGAAAAATAACCTATTTAAATTAAAAAGGACCGTAATACTTGCTAATACTGGAGGGGGAGGAGAGTCAATCAGTACAAAAGTTGTAATAATTATTAATAATTCTAAGTGGAAAAGTGAAAGTTCCTCTTTTCCCCATCCACCTTCATTCCTATCTCTGGAGGTAGCCTCATATAAGTTTTTTGGGTATTCTCTCAGAAAATTGTTATGCATATGCAAGCATGCACACTGTTCTGCAGTATACTTTTTCTTTTCACTTAAAATAGCTGAGAGATCGTGCCACGTCCAAACATAATGACCTGGTAATTCTTTTCTAAGGCTGCATAGTACTCCATTGTAAGGACTAACCATGAGTTAGTGAATTTGTCCCCATCCATAAGCATACAGGTAGTTTCCAACCTTTTGCTTTTACCAACGTTATTGGAGTCAACATCCCTGACTATATAAACGTGAACGTATCTGTGGGGTAAATTCCAATGAGCGTGATTCTGTGCCAAAGGATAGGTAAAATTTTGATAGACAACTGGCAAATTCTCCTCCAGAGAAGTAGGGCCAATTCCTGCTCCTTCCTCCCTCACCCACAGGGCATGAGGTGCTTCTGTAGACCTTTTTTCTGCCTTCATATAAACGACTTTTACTCTAGGGATGTTGTTCCTAGCAACACAGAGAATCCACAGGAAATATTTCCCTGGAAGCAGTACTTGGAATAATTGGGCTTCTTCTGAGATTTTTTTTTTTTTTTAAATCCCTAACCTGAAGGAGGCTGCAAATCTTGGTTGCAGAAGCATCAGAGCCAACTCCAGCGAAGAAGCCGACCTACTCTCCGCGTCTCAACTCTCTTGTGCCGTGGTTTTCCCTCTGTCTCGTTTTCTTATCCTCTTTTTAAAACGTTCATTTTATTTTGTGGTATAGCTCACTTAACTCCTGTCTGGAACCAAATTAAATGGGAGGATTGCATAAATACACGGGAAATAAAAGCACGTTTTTCTTTATAAAGAGCATCAATTCCTAGGACTCCTGGTGCTGGAAGGTGAGAAGGACAGGTCTGGGCTCCCCCCTCATTCTCCACTTTCCTTGAAATGGAAATAAAGCCCCTTGGTGGTTGGGGAGACTACAACAGTGTGTCTCCCAGCCTCCCTTCCATCCTGTACTCTCCTTTTCAAGAGAGAGTGCCCAAGAATGCCCAAATCCCACCACATTCTCAGTCCTTTCCCCTTATGTCCATTATCCAAACATCCATTCATTCAATTTCTCATGTTCATTCATTCAGTATTCATTTCTTATGTGTCTGTTGTGGACCAGGAGGTAGAGTTTAGTTTCTCTTCTGCTGGGACCCTGAGCCCCATCTCCATACCTAGCTGCCCACCCCTCACCCCACAATGACCCTTCGTTTGTGTTCACAGAATATGTCCCTTCATACAATCACCTGCAAAACATGCTGACACACTTGTATGCATCTTCTCCTCAAAGCCACAAATCATACAAAGGTTTTCACAGGGTCATGTGGTTGCAGCATGACCACAGATATGGTTCTGTGTTGGCAGCACATATGTGTGCATGTAGGAAATGCAGAAACATAGCACATGTCTATAAATATTAGACACACTGAACACTATTTCCCTTATACTCTATTTCGGACCCAGGGTTTGATTGTAATCCAAATGCATTGCCCAGGCCAGGTGAGCCCACACCAGACACACAGGGCACACATGTCTCAAATCCACTCTGGCATCTTGCTGCCTAGGAGGGAGGGGGAGGGGAGGAGTTTGGCTGGGCTGGTGTCCAGGGCTCCCCAGGTCGCCCCGTCGGGCCAGATTGGTCAGCCCCAGGGTGTCTGTCCCTTCTGCTGTTCTTCCCTCTGCCACAGCATTCCTCCTCCTTCTTAGTCACAGATAATTCCCCTGCTCCTCTGGTGAGCTGCCAGGTCATTGCTGCTATCTGCCAAGGGCTGTTGGGCTAGGTCTGTGTTAGGACAAGGGTCCAAGTTATCCTAACTTTCTCTCTTTTTAAAAAAAAAAATTTATTTTTTAAATTTTAGAGGCAACTTTCCTAACTTTCTCTTGTTAGAGGCTAGGTCTGGGGGCAGGGCTAGGGAGTGGTAGGAATAATTAGGAGAGGGGATAGGGAAGACAGCTTGGGCTTGGGGTGTAGGCTGACCCACATCCCCATTTTTGTGCCATTCACCTGTGGTGGACAGATACACAAACAAGGGACGGCTACCTCTGGAGGGCAATTTGCATCCAGGACCAGGAGGGAATAAAAGGGGAGCTGAACATTTTGTAGCCCTTCCCAGCTTAGCCCCGCCCACCCTATTTTAACAACTTATAAAGAGATTCTGGGCCCAGATAGAATAAAGGTCTTTGAGAAAAGATGGAAGAAGGAGGAGCTTAGATCTATGAGCTCCACTTTAATCACAATTCAAGTACAAAGACAGAAATTTACACAAGGGGAAAAAGAGAAGTCACATACATTGAGCACTTTACAAACATATAATTTAATCATCACAAAAGTTCTAGGAGTAAGAAATTGGAGACCCATTTCACAGATGAGGAAACAGACTCAAAACCTTTACATGACTCGCCCAAGGCCACACTCTGTTCAGTGATGGAGCTCAGAGTAGAGCCCAGGCTAGCCTACTCCATAATTTAGGAAAAGATAACTCATTTTACAAATGGATGCACTCTAAGATGGCTTTAGATGGAGAATCTTCTAGCTTTTCAAAGCTAGGATCCTCTAGCTTTTCAATTAGGATGTGATGTGCAAACCCAATCCTGCTGCTGTCCACTCCTGCAAGAATTCCCTGGAGTGATGGCCCTGGATTGGAACACAGTGGGTCACATCAGACTTGTGCTTAGTAGGTGCACATGCAGAGTTCTTAGGACTTGTTGTGGAGTTTGTTGGTGTGTGTGTGTGTGTGTTTAGCATTGGGGAGAGTGAAAGGGCATTTTTTATTTCATCGGGGAAAGGTATGGGAAGGAGAATTTACTTTCTAGACAAGCACTCAACAAACATTTGCTGAATGAATTAATGAATGAACAAATTCATTCATCAAATGTTCATTGAGCACAGCCCTGTGCCAGGCGCTGGGCTGGCCCTTCAGATGCTGATGCTGCAGCTCATGAGACCGAAGCACTGGATCCCGAGAGGGGTAGAGGGGTCCGCGGAGGAGGAGAGGGAGGGTGAAGGCAGCATCCCTGCTCTCTCTTCTGGGGAGGGCCCAGCCCCTGTCACAGTTCTGCTAATGCTACTGCTCCCTCCTCCACACCCTACCTTGATCTTTCTGCTCTAAATATCATTGTGTTCAAATAATAGTGTATATATTTTAAAAGACTCCAAGAAGACAGCTGCCTGGGAGTATTAATCATGAAGAGGCCAGCGCTCGGTCTCCATGGCGACTCTCAACAGAGAGAGCTGAGGAGCTGTTCCATGTCCCACTTCCCGGGGGCCATGGAAATGCAGAGACACTGCATCTCTCACCTTTTTCTTTCTTTTCTGCCTCTCCCTTCTCCCCTCTTCCTCTCTTCTCTTCTCCTACCCTCCCCATTAACCACCACCTCCACCACCCCCACCCCCACCCCCCATCTTGCTAAATGATATATTCAAAAGCAGTGGCAAAGGCAGGTTTGGGGCATCAAGCTAACAAGGAACAAGGCCAACAGGAGGCAGTAGAGATAAAGTCTGCATCCACCTGCAGCCTCTTCAGTGTCCAGCCCCCTTCCGCAGACCCCTGTAGTGTCCCCAGGCTTCCATGACCACTGGGGCAGAAGGAGTCTGATGATCTTGCCCCTAAGGCAAGAGACCCACTGTCAGGGTCCTTTTCTGTTTCTTCCTTCTTCCCTACTCATGACCAGTCATTGGTTTATGGCTTGGGTCATTATTATGAGTATGATTATTACTTGTTGTTGCTTTTGTTTGATTTTGTTTTGACACAGAGTTTCACTCTGTTGCCCTGGCTAGAGTGTTGTGGTGTCATCGTAGCTTACTGCAACCTCAAACTTCTGGGCTCAACCGATCCTCAGCCTCCTGAGTAGCTGGGACAACAGGAGCATTCCACCATGCCCAGCTACTTTTTTTTTCTTCTATTTTTAGTAGAGATGGGAGCTGGCTCTTGCCAAGGCTGGTCTTGAACTCCTGAGCTCAAGGTATCCTCTTGTTTTCGCCTCCTAGTGTACTAGGATTACAGGTGTGAGCTACCACACCCAGCTAGATTATTACTTTTAATGCCCAAAAAAGTTTAACAGGCTCATTGGAAAAAAGACAAGCATGTTAAAAATTATAATGCAAAAAATCAGAATACTGCTGGGCACAGTGGCTTGTGCCAATAGTCCCAGCAAATTGGGAAGCTGAGACAGGAGGATCACTTGAGGTCAGGAGTTAGAGACCAGCCTGGGCAACATATTGAGACCCCCATTGCTAAAAAATAAAAATAAATTTAAACATGAGAATGCCTTTCAAAATGCCATATCCAGATATATACATTGAAATAGTTTCAGGTTGATTCCTACAGATTGTTTTTCATGTATATTTGTTCAACATTCATTTATTCAACAGTCACATTTTCATCA